TAGAACTTCGAACTGAGGTTCTAGGACCACGGCATCCCGGTACGATCGTCGCAATGAACAACCTCGCATGGACACTCCGTGACCGTGGTCAACTAGAAGAAGCCGAGAAGATTCAGCAACAGGTCCTAGAACTTCAAACTGAGGTTCTAGGACCACGGCATCCTGGTACGATCGTCGCAATGAACAACCTCGCATTGACACTCCGTGACCGTGGTCAACTAGAAGAAGCCGAGAAGATGAAGCGACAGGTGCTAGAACTTCAAACTGAGGTTCTAGGACCACGGCATCCCGATACGATCGTTGCAATGAACAACCTCGCATTGACACTCCGTGACCGTGGTCAACTAGAAGAAGCCGAGAAGATTCAGCGACAGGTGCTAGAACTTCAAACTGAGGTTCTAGGACCACGGCATCCCAGTACGATCGTTGCAATGAACAACCTCGCATTGACACTCCGTGACCGTGGTCAACTAGAAGAAGCCGAGAAGATGAAGCGACAGGTCCTAGAACTTCGAACTGAGGTTCTAGGACCACGGCATCCCGACACGATTGTCTCAATGAACAACCTTGCATGGACACTCGGTGACCGTGGTCAACTAGAGGAGGCTGAGAAGATTCAACGACAGGCCCTGGAACTTCTAACAGAGATCTTAGGATCGCAGCATCCTCATACGGTCATAGCAATGAGGAATTATGACCAGATACTGCGGGAGTGTGTCAAACTGAAAGAGGCTGAGAAGCTTGAACAAGATGCTGTGATTGTTCAAAGCAACTCTGGGTTATGAACTCGTCATACCATTCCCATGATCAGTTGGCTTATGTGCTCGCTCCTTGCCTCTTGTCAAATTTAAGGTCATTTTACGTCCTTTACAGGCATGTAATGATACTTGTACTGATGGCATTCCACAAATGTTCACTTTTCATAGACCAATCCCAGGTCCCTTCCTTGTCAAATGTATATTCGTCTATTTTCTGTTTTTGTATTTGCTTGATATACACAATTATTGATTATATATATATTATTGTATGATTTGTTGGAGATGAACATGGTCCGTTCGGGTGAACAAAGTGGCTCGAGTTTCCATCAACACCACAAGTCAGCGGCGGATCAAATGCTCGGCTTCTGTTTCCGATAATGTCCAGCAAGCCGGCTTCCTTGTGGCACTCGGCTCGGCAGTAAGGGTGGTTTAGGCCGAGGAGCATGACGTACTGGCGCGGTATTGCCATAGACGTGTCCCCTGGCCCGTTCATTCTCTTCTTCAATATCACTCAGAAGTTACCTCAGTGTAGAGTGGTAGAACGAGAAGACATTGTGGTCGAGTGTAGAAAACCACTCAGCTCACTTAGATGATCCACTGGCGTGTCTATTGACACTGGATTATGGGACTATCTGGTGTGGGTTAGCGACCCTGGCAATACCCCCAAAGGAAACGACACAGGTGTCAGTCGTCTGGTCCTCCATTATGGACGACTTGAGAAATTGGGTATTGAGACTGAAGGATATGATCTATATGAGTATTGGTGAGCGTATTTATGGTTGTACCACTGGTATACATGCACACGTCTAAGGCTAATTGCAGGGGAATTGGTGAACTCTCGACCTTGCCACCACCACCCTTACAACCCAACCGTTTCGACAGACACCCGGAAGGTCGGCCAATACAAATATCCTCTCAATTTCTCGCCGATGGAAACAATTGTCAAACCTTTCGTGCATTCTCTTCTCGAATGAGCCTATCAAGTTGTGGTTTGTCGAATAGTTCTGGCAGGCGAACTGGCAAATCTTGGACAAACACTATTCTAGAGGTACATGAAAATTGTCAGATGTGCTATCTACGATGCGAACTCGATCATTAAGGTCTGTCGGACTGATACCCAAATCGTATTGTAACTTTACTCAATCTCGTCTCTTCCTCTTATCGCTCCGTTCCCCGTACTGGTTCCCAGAACTCCTCTCTTTTATTCTCTACTGTGTATAATATATCGGAAAAGCTGATAAAGACCGAGATATTTGACACAATTGCCCCTGGTGCAAGAATATGACCTGACTACGACAAAATTCGTAGCCTGAAAGCTCTATTTCAAGCTCTATTGGGCGGTTCCCATCCATATCGTACCATCAAATGGTCTCTTGGTGACGGTTATGTCAGTCGTTGGACGTTTTCTCCCTATCCTTGGTCTCATGCGGATAGTGATAGGGTGGAGTCGTCGTTATTGACCTTATATAAATGAGTTCGAAGTCATGTTTGCCTGGATTACTTCCTCACCGATACTGGGTACGGTTTCGGGTGAGCCCCTCGCCTTGGACGCCCGTCGAGAACTTTGAGTGACCGAACTCGGGATGGGTCTTGGCTTTACCTTTGCATCGTTCCCATTCTATGAAACTTGACTTCAAACACCTTCCTTCCCCCCCGTTCTGATATGGGAAACTGGTGCAGAAGGCTCAACCGTGTTTCGAGAGCAATGCGAGGCTTGCGCGGACTTTTCGGGGAACACCATCCCTGCTCCTGTTCCTACTCTTGGTCCTCTTGAGGAGCATGCTCGTCACCTTCATTCTCATTCGCCAAACCTCTGGTTTTGGGCCTGCAAGGAGCGTTTGCAAGAAGGTACACACCGAACGCCACATCAAGTCGAGTCGTGATCCTTCAGGACTCGAAAGAACCTTTATCAGTAGCCGCTGAAGGGAAAACGTCTTCGGGAATGGTCGAATTGGATGTGCCTGGTTGTGGCACTCGGACCACCAGGGTGGTGCTAGTTGGCTAGGGAATTTCAGAGTAGATTCATAAATCATGGGCCGCTAGACGCGATCAAATTGATTTTTACTCCTCTAGATGGTACTACTTTGTATCCCAAAGCTGGGGAAGGTTAGGAAACACGCTCGCGACGGAGTTTTAAAAAACACTGCTTGGTTGGACTCGGCCTTATAATAGCATTTTCAACACTCCATATAATCAAGAAATATCACATCTCATTCGGAGCTTAGGTCATCTTATGATTAAAGAGCTTCCCATAAGAGGTGAGTTTCGAGCTGTAAGGTCTGGCCCTAAAACTGGAGCGGGATGGATTCGCACTGTCCTACCTCTAGGCCTTCAACTAGGCGCCCAAATAGGCCAGCAGGTTACACGCTATATGTGGCCGCTACACGAGCTTGGCTGCTCGACGCCTCGACACTGATAAAGAAGATGGGCCAGACGCTGGACTTAAGCCTTGGGAGGTGTCGAGATAAAGTCAATATGACGTCAATGACCTTGTTTGACCAGGAAATGGATCAGTTGTTTTTTTTAGTGTGTGGCAACGTCGTGGGGTACTGTGTCTATGGTATTAGGCAAGGGCCTCAGCCTTTTCCATACACAACGGCGAACCCCTTGTGAGCCTTCTCTGTTTTTCTCTCCTATCATTTCTCGTAATTCCACCAGTCAGTGCGTGCAGCTGGACCACGAGAGCAACCTACATTTCACCTGGTATGCGACGACGGTTCAATTCTGAGCTGAACAATGGGTCGAGAGAGGCTCCATATGATCATGACGAGAATTTCATGATGTTTTGAGACTTTACTGGTTTCTAAAGGGGTGAGATGCTTCTATATCGTTCGAATAATACGTTGGGTGCTAAATACATGAATTTTCCCGACAGGATCTGCCTTCGTTGAACATTATTTGGTTTTGAAATAACATATAGGCAGTGAGAAATAGGAAATCATCGGCTTAGTCGATGAAATTACTAAAAGGACTACTTGGTAGATTGATGCTTCTGGCTGATGGCGATTATATTTACTCTGAGAGTACATATATACACCGAATATATTTCCTATTTTCATCTCTTCTGGAGCATAAGTCGGTAGTGTTCACAGAACGATAGCTAGGGAACGTACCCAAAGGCCACGGTCTGAGCGCAAGATATGAGGAGAAGGGCTGGAAGTCGGAAATTGATAAGATTGATGATATCCTTGAAGAATCAAAGTGCACTCATGGAAACTGAGTATGAGCCTTGAGAAATGTCGAACAACAGCAAGGTTTGGTGCGTGGCACAGGGCTACCCCAATCCCCTCCGAGTTGGTGGATGCAATTGAGTTGCTCTACCTATTTGAAGTCAATGTCTAGTTAGATTCGTGTCTATTCCATCGTTACAAGACACCGTACCGAACACTCTTTGTATGAGTCAATTTATTCAGTGTTTCTAAACGTGCGTCCTTGGTTGGAGGTGTTGAACGAGCTGCTTGTTCTAGCCATGATCGTAGAAATTTGTTATTGGTTCAAATATTCTGTGCTGCAAATAGCAATCAAGCGAGCGAGTAGGGAACAGCTATTTATATAATACCGGTAAAAACCCGAGAGTTGTAGAGGATGTAAGAGGTCTGTCCGAGATAGCCGGATGCATGGTCTATGTCTCCGATATGCCGAGCCAACCGGCTTCATCGCACTTGTCCCGGCGCGTAGTGACGTATTCTGGCGTAGCATCACCACGGACAAATTCCATGTGGTAGCCATGGATGGAGCACGTTGTGATTTCGTGTACAAGCTTTTTTTGTCGATATAAGACGCTGGTTTACTTCCTAATAATTCCTCTATTACAAACAAAGTTTCCATTTGGAACGTCCGTCCGTGCTAAGAAGCAGAAAGACACCTGCCAATGTATTCAAGACACTGAGTTACGCTGTACGGCCGAGCCACCCTTCCTCACTTATTCAGAGCGCTAGTATCTTCTAATTGTCTGTCTTCCCTTGATATAATGACCTATTTCACGGATCCGTTAGTCCCGAGTCTCTGCTGAGGTCAAAGGTGGATCTAGTCCGATCCTTCGCATGGTCTCATCCACCCAACCCACTTATATGTAATTCTCCCGCAGGTCCATTGACTCTATATTCGGTAGAATATCCTGTGTCAGTGTAGTGACGCCGGCCAAAACCTCCTAATTCAGGCAGCAAAGGGGACAGTACTGGTCGCCTCGTCCTGTTATTGATGACTTGAGACATTGGTTATCAGGATCCAAGGATATAATTTGCATGTATATTGGTGGGACGTAGTTGTGGTCGTGGCACTGGTATACAATACACGTCTGATTGTACAGGAAGTGAATGTCGACCTTGGACCTTCCCACCATGACCCCACGACTCGACAACTTTTGGCAGACGTCTGAAAAGTCAGCCACTGCGAATATTCCTCAATTTATCGTCGACCCACAATAATTATCAAGCTTTCGCGGTTTCCCTTGGGGAGTGAGCTCATGAAGCCGCGGTTATCGACGAGTTCTGACAAGTGGATGGGGTAATTTTCGGATAAATCTTGTCCTCAAGGTACAAACGTGCTATTCCTGATGAGAATTGAGTCTTCAATGTCCGTCGGACTACTATGCAAGGATGTGGCTTCACTCGATCCCACCTCTTCCTCTCATGAGCCTCTTTTTCGGTGCTCATTACACTAGAATCTTTCCCTCGATTCCATATCCGGCGTGTCTATGAGGTCGAGATATTTGCCACGCTTGCGCCTAATGCCAAAATGAACAGCGTCGACCTGGCCATGATTTCATTTGTCGCCTACAAGCGCTTTTATTGGGTATTCCCCATTCGTCTTGTACCATCAAATGGCCTCTTGGTGACAATAATGTCAGTCGTTTGACGTTTTCTTCCTACCCTTCGCCCCATAAGAACAGCGATAGGGTGGAGTGGGTCGTTATCGACCCTATATAAACGCATTGGAAGCTGTATATGGCTGGTATATTTCCTTGTCGATCTTGGGTACGGTTTTGGGTGGGCCCTCGTCTTGGCTGCCTTTCGAGACTTTTGAGCGACCGAACTCGGGAAGGGTCTGGGCTTACCTTTGCATCGTTCCCATTCTGAAACTTGTCTTCGAACACTTCTTGTCCCTGTTTCGACATCGGGGTGAGGGCTTGTGCAGAAGGTTTGACCGTGTTTGGAGAGCGATACGAGGCTTACGACTTTGAGGCGCACCCGTCGTGCTCTTGCTCCTCCTGGGAGCATATTCGTCATCTTTATTCGCATTCGCCGAGCTTCTAGTTTGGGACCTTGCGGGGAGCGCTGGCTCTCGGTCATGGCTGACTATCCGGAGACGTTGCAAGAGGCAGCACACTGAGCGCTACATCAAGTCGGGTCGTGACTTTTCGAGAGTCGAAAGGGAGCTATGTCGGTATCGCATTCTATTGTTCTATGCGTGTCGCTGGACTTTAACTGGGACCTACCGTTTACCTGGGAAGCGACGAAAATTCAATAGTCAGTTGAACCATGGGGGAGAAGGGGCTCCGTATGATCATGACGAGATGATCGTGATATTTTGAGAAAATTTGGAGGACTTGATCATGCACGCCACAGGACTACCGCAGTCTTTCTGGAGTAGGCAGTCTGCAGGAACTGTGATTATAATCCGAGTCGTTTGTTTTGTGCTCTTTCTCGATCAAATTTCTTATTACGTCCAAGGCAGACGGATTGTCGGTGTTGTCAATTGCTATCGATCAAGCAATACAAAGGTGATTATCAAATGCTTGACGCGCGCCCACTAAATCCCAGCTGCCTTTTACCTGTTGAATAAATATACCATTCTAAGATACAAATAACCCGAGTTTTGTTTGTACTTTCCGTGAGATCTTGACCATATGCTACGCTTGCGGTACGGTCCCCAACGACGATGTCCCAAGGCCATACGAATCCTGTAGGAACAAGCACGCAATCAGCCACCGATAATGCTGTACCAAAGTCAAAATGCCTTAGGATATCTGGTATTCCAGATGACTGGAGTGTAGATACTCTCCGTCAGCGCTTGGAGACACTTGACCCCCACCTCTGCGACAATGAGTTCAAAATCTCGCTTTATCCAGCTTGTCATGGATCGGGTCAAGTTGGCATGTTGAATTTATCCCAGTGTACGGAATATTTTAAACGAGTCGTACC